CCAGGGGACTAAGGAAGAAACTAGTCTCTGATTCATGTGTCTGAGTGGTCAGGAAGCCCACCAGGCAGAAGAGCACTAGGGACAAGTCACCCTTCAGAGGCACATCCCCAGGGCCCTGTGGCCAGCCACCTGCCACCTCACAAGAGCCCCACCACAGAGCACTGCTTCCACCGGGGACCAAGCCTGCAACATAGCCACCTTTTATGGGACACCAAGCCATCGCACATTCCTCTTTCCATATCTTAGTGCTCGAGCCTTCCCAGATGATTGTTTATTTCCTCTGTGTCCATCTGATAGTATTTGCAGTTAGGCTGGTGCCCAAGCCCCGTACATCCTCAAAACAGCTACAGTTTGGTCTCATCCTAACAAACCATGGAGTCTGGAAGGCAGAGTCAGCTGTGAGGTAGAACTAGGAGCCTGCCATCTCTGGCCTTCCATGAAGCCCTGGGAACATGTCAGTCAGGTCAGTGGCCAGGGCACATGTCCCTGAGCAGCCCCTTCTTCTGTCCTGGCAGTCTTGCTGGAATGAGTACCTGACGACTCGGATAGAACAGAACTTTGTACTGAATTGTACCTGCCCCATTGCTGACTGTCCTGCTCAGCCCACTGGAGCCTTCATCCGTGACATTGTCTCCTCCCCAGAGGTCATCTCCAAGGTACCCCCCTTCTTGCCTGAGGCCCCAGAGGACGCACAAGCTGGCTTCCAGATGCTAAGAGCATTTGGAGCCTTCTGGAGAGTCCTACTCGCCCATCATTCATAGCAACTTGCCTCTGCCCACAGTATGAGAAGGCCCTCCTGCGAGGCTATGTGGAGAGCTGCTCCAACCTGACATGGTGCACCAACCCTCAGGGCTGTGATCGTATCCTGTGCCGACAGGGCCTGGGCAGTGGGACCACCTGCTCTAAGTGTGGCTGGGCCTCTTGTTTCAACTGTAGCTTCCCTGAGGTGGGTGCTCCACTCTGGCCCCTGCAAGAACTCCTTCCTTTCCTGCCCAGCACCTCAACACACACACGCACACGCGCGTGTGTGCGCGCACACACACACACCGCGCGCTCGCGCGAGAGAGGGGCTTCCTTGGCTCCTGATAGCTGGCTGAGCTGTTTCCTCACACTCCCCCACTTAGGCACACTATCCTGCCAGCTGTGGCCACATGTCCCAGTGGGTCGATGATGGTGGCTACTATGATGGCATGAGTGTGGAGGCCCAGAGCAAACACCTGGCCAAGCTCATCTCCAAACGCTGTCCCAGCTGCCAGGCGCCCATCGAGAAGAATGAGGGGTGTCTGCAGTAAGAAGGGGTACAGGGACCCTGGGAGCATGGTGTGGGGTTGGCCTGGCAATTAGGAGTACAGCGAATCCACTGCCCTCACTCATCGGTCCCAGGGTCACCTCCTGATTCCTTCACCCAGGTTCTGAGTCCACTGTGTTGGGAAGCCCAAAGCAAGGGTGTCCTTAGCAGGGCTTGGGAAGGTGAGTCCCTTGGGTGGTGTGTTCAGCTCTTGGGCACCCTTACCCAGAAGCAGGCCCCTCTGATCATCTTGAACCCTCCACAGCATGACCTGTGCCAGATGTAACCATGGGTTCTGCTGGCGCTGCCTCAAGGCCTGGAAGCCAAGCCACAAGGACTACTACAACTGCTCTGCCATGGTAAGGGGCCCGGGGAAGCAGCTGCAGTTGGCCCTAGCTCAGAGTTACATGTCAGTCAGGATGAAGGTTCCGTGTGGGGAGACAGGAGCCTCCGAGGCTTAAGGTTCCAGGATCTCTGTACCGAGAGAGAGGCCTGCCCATCCAGATGACCAAAGAAAGACCAGGAGAGCAGGGCAGGACAAGGAGTGTGGTGTGGGCCTGCCCTGACGCTGGCCGGGGACAAGCCTCAGCATTCCCATGTAAAGGCAGGCCAGTAACAGGACTGCTGGGTGAAGTCTAGAGAGGGTAGTGGCCCTTCTAAGAACCCCAGCCCCTCTGAACAAGCACCCACCAAGACTTCCATGTGTCCTTACCAGGTGAGCAAAGCAGCTCGCCAGGAGAAGCGGTTTCAGGACTATAATGAGAGGTGCACTTTCCACCACCAGGCACGGGTGAGCAGTAGCAGTGGTCAGCGGTCAGGGCGGTCAGCGGTCAGGGCTGGGCGACTGCACGGAGGGAGGGCCAGCAGGGAGCTGCCTGGCCTGCTGACCCCATGGCTGGAAGTGCACCTTCCTCCGGCAGGAGTTTGCGGTGAACCTGCGGAACCAGGCCTCTGCCATCCACGAGGTGCCTCCGCCTAGATCCTTCACCTTCCTTCACGACGCCTGCCGGGCCCTGGAGCAGGCTCGAAAGGTTGTAGCAGTGGAGGAGGCGATCGATCGGGAGGGCCACACCAAGGGGGCTGAGTGGGCTTGGACAGAGGAACCGGAAGAGAGGAAGTGGAGGTGGGGGACCGCGCAGGCTGGGCGCACTGACAGGGTCTCCTCCAGGTGCTGGCCTACGCCTGTGTCTACAGCTTCTACAGCCAGGACACCGAGTACATGGACGTGGTGGAGCAGCAGACCGAGAGCCTGGAGCTGCACACAAACGCCCTGCAGATCCTGCTCGGTGAGCCCGCGCACCACCCTGCTGTCCTCACCACCCTCTGGCCTGTACCCAGCCAGGCAGCCCTCCAGGGCCCTTACCTGCCCTCACTGTCTCTTTCCTCCCTTCATTCTATGTGGCCTTCCCTCTCTTGGGTCTCACGTCCATGACATAGGGCCGTGGGTCACAGACACACTACCGGCAGGCTGCTCCACACCCTGTCCTTGGCGGCTGAGCTCCATGAGGTCTTTTTTACTTTTTATTTAAGATTTATTTATTTTATGTACACGAGCGCTTATTTGTATATATGCCTTTGTGCCAGAAGAGGGCCTCAGATCCCACAGAAATGGTTGTGAGCCACCGTGTGGGGGCTGGGAATTGAACCTGGGTCCTTGGGAAGAGCAACCATTTCTCCAGCACACTCCATGAGTTTTGGCAGCCATCCCTGGCACTTGGGAGATGTTTCTGGGAGGAGCCAGCAGGCCCTGTGCTTACCCCTGCAGAGGAGAGCCTGCTCCGGTCCCAGGACCTGGCCTCTTCCCTGCGCCTCCTGCGGGCTGACTGCCTCAGCACGGGCACGGAGCTGCTCCGGAGGATCCAGGAGAGGCTGCTGGCCATCCTGCAGCACTCCACCCAGGTACTGCCCTACACAGCCCTGCTTCGGGGAAGGCCAGGGCCAGGCTGCTGTATCACCTGAGTTACTGGGCTTCCTCCAGATCAGGGGTTTGGGGCCAGGGGCTCACCAGAGTCAGTCTGAGCATCCTCAGATGTTAGCCCTGCATGTGGGAGGGACTGCAGGGGACAGTCTCCAGGCCTCACCAGCTCTGGTGCTCAGGTGTGGAGCCCAAGCAGTGAGCCGGTTTCTTGGGTCCTTTGATGCCTGCTTAGTAACTGGGCAGAGATGCTTGCTGCGGGCTCTGTGCCTGCCAGTCCTCTCCCCTGGAGCCTCAGGGAGTTAACTGCAGGAGTGCTCATGGGAGTCTGGCTGTCAGGAAACAGCAGGGGATGGAGTACCGGGCCGGAGGCCTGGTGCCCTCTGCTCTTCTGCTCCTCAGGCCTTCCTGTCTCCTCGTCAGGACTTCCGGGTTGGACTGCAGAGTCCATCAGTAGAGGTTCGGGAGGTGAAGGGATCCAACGTGCCCAGCAATCAGTGAGTAGGCTGGCCACAACCTGGGACAGGGCAGCAGGGATGTAGGCTTCCCTGGCTGAAGTGGTGACCTTCCCCAGGCCCCAGGGCTCCTTGGGGCTGGAAGCAGGAGAGGAAGAAGAGGAAGAGGAGGTTGTGCCTGAGTGGCAGCGTGAGTTTGATGAGGAACTGGACAATGACAGCTTCTCCTACGACGAAGAGTCTGAGAGCCTGGACCGAGAGACTTTCTTCTTCGGTGATGAGGATGACGACGATGAGTCCTATGACTGAGGGGCCAGGAAACCTGGAGCTGCCCCCAGGCAGGGCCACAGGGCTGAGGACGTCAGCCCTCCAGTGTCATGTGAGAGGGGGTTCCCAGTGTGTGCAGCACCTTCTGCTTACTGAATAAACTTTTTTCACACACTTCTCTGGAAGCAGGCTGGACTGTGGTGTGCCTGACAGCCACCGTTGCTCTATAAACGAGCTTTTAGACTGTGTGTGCGTGCTGTGCTGCTGTGGATGAGATCAGAGAATACCTTCAGGGTCCCTTCCCTTTTCCATGTAGGTGCTCCGGCCTCGTATCTTCAGGGTTAGCAGCTGTGCCATCTCACCAGCCATCCTCACCTTTAGACTTCCAGACTTTTCTATCCTCAGTAAAAGCCCCAAGCAGACTCGTTTGACCTAAACTCACAAAGGGAGGCACAAGTCCTCACGGTCCCGTTCAGAGATGAGGAGAATGATGGCCCACGCCCCATCCCCCTCCATACTTTTAAATACTCCCCAGGCTCTAATGGGCATGACAACGTACACTCCTTCTGGGGACCACTTCTAAAGGTCTTTCTGTACCCTCAAGTGAAGCGGATGGAAAGGGATGCTCTAAGGGCCCACCCCATCGCTATAATCTGTGTTTTCTTTTTGAGACTGGGCCTTTCTCCACAGCTCTGACTGTCCTGAAACTCATTATGTAGGCCACACTGACTTCTAATTCAGAAGTTCACCTGCCTGTGCCTCCCAAGGGCTGGGATGTGGGTGTCGCATCCAGCTAAATGAACCTTTTTGACTGGTGTGGGAGGCTGATTCTGGATTGATTCCAGAGACGTGTCAGGGGTCAGGACTTAACACAGTGGGGCCAGGCCATAGAGAAGGTTAGTAGTTAAGAGCACTTGTTGCTCTCACAGAGGTTCAGTTCCCAGCACTCAGGTGGTGTCTCTTAACCATCTCTAATGCTAGTTCCAGAGAATCCAGTGCCCTCTTCTGGCCTCTGTGGACGACGCCAGGTATGGGGTGTGTGTGTGTGTGCAGTCAAAACACATAAAAAGTCTCAAACTTTTTTTAATAAAGAAGGGATAGGTCAGGTACTTGGGTCACTGGAGGTGGTTTTTCTCTCAGGAGGGTAAGCCGCAAAGTATCGATCAAGCATGGTATCCACCTCTCCCTCTGTGTAGTCCCACACCTGGATCCTCGAGCCATCTGCTGCTCCCCGGATCATGGCGGAAAGCACTGAGGAAGGGAAATAAAACTGACCCCAATTTGCTCCATGCCCCAGCCCACTGGGAAAGGAAGAAATGGGTATGGGGTTCCCAGAAAGCCAGGGAGGGGCAAGCCCCTCTCCCCTGCAGGCTGGGGTACTCACCACGGCCAGACTGTGGTCGGAACAGGCACAGAATTTGTTTACCAAGAGCTACTGCCCAGCCCAGTTCATAGCCAACACCCAGGGATGGCTGTGTCACCTCGGCCACGACCACTAGAAAGAAAGCAAAATAAATTTAATACCTGGGACTTGTAAGGACAGGGTGGCAACATATCTGTGGTAGGGAAGGAGTCCCTTCCAGGTATGGAGGCCAGGGATACCCCAGGAATTACCATCACGGAGGAGCCTGCATGGAGGAGCCTGCGTGGAGGAGGGAGGGCTACTCACCATCAGCCTGTCGCAGCCAGGCCAGGTCTTGCTCATGAATGAGCCGGTCGCCCCCAGCAGCCTCTTCTCCTGTGGTTGAGGGGAAGCTGGTCAAGAAGTTCCTACCCCAATTCAGTACCCCCCGACTTGCTGCCCTTCAAATCTACCCTGCTCAGGGAGGGCAGAGGGAAGAGATCTGTGCTCCTGCACCTCTAAAAGCCAGCCCAGGACAGGAGTCTGTCAAAAGGGGTGTTGGTGGCTCACACATTTAATCCCAGCACTCAGGAGGCAGGGGCAGGCGGATCTCTGTGAGTTCGAGGCCAGCCTGGTCTACAGAGTGAGTTCCAGGACAGGCTCCAAAGCGACACAGAGAAACCCTGTGTAAAAAAAAAGGGTGTGTGAGAGGGATGGAGGATGGAGCAGCCACAAAGCCACAAGAAAAACCCAATCCTATGCAAAGTGGCATGTGTGATGCAAGGTGGCAATGTGTGACGGGCTGGGCGAGTGTGTGAAAAGCCAAGCAACTCTGCAAAGGCCCAGGAGACATAACCAGGGTCAGAGGGTCAGGGCCACAGCTTCCAGCTTGAACAAATGCCACTGTTCAGGGTGGTGAGGCTATGCTGGTGGACAGGGCAGAAACACCTTGTCAATAAGACAATGGCACACACCTATAATCCCAGCCTCAGGAGACAGCAGCTGGTGGATCTCTGAATAACAAGACACTCTGGCCTACACAGTGAGTTCCATGACAGCCAGGGATCTATAGGGAGACCCTGTCTCAAAAACAAACAAACAAACAAAAAAAACAAAACAAAACATAACAAAAAAAAAACCTCTTACACAGAGAAAGAAACCCTGTTTCAGAAAAACAAAAATAATAATAAAAAGAAAAAAGACAAGAAAAATAAAGAAACAAAAGCAAGCAAGCTGGGTTTTGTCTCATGTTTTCTTTAAGACGGGGTCTATGTAGTCCAAGATGGTCTGGAACTCGAACAGTTGAGGGCTACCAACCAAACACACCACAAGCTAGCCAACCATAAGCATAATCAGGTCCTTTTCAATCCCTAGCGTTTTTTGCCTCGTAATTCTTTGTCTTTGAAAAGATTGTCCCAGAAGGGCTGGAAAGATGGCTCAGCGGTTAAGAGCACTGACTGCTCTTCCAGGAAATCTAGGTTGAATACCACCACCCACGTGGCAGCTCGCAACTGTCTGTAACCCATGGCAAAACACTAATGCACAGAGAGAGGGAGAGGGAGAGAGATTCTCCCAGAATTGCATTAGAGCCCACAGCTTATGCGTCTGCGTGGGGCAAGGTAAAACTACTTAAAAGTTTTCTGAGCACAAGTACAAGAGTTCTAGGTACAACTTTCAAAGGCTTTCAGTGTGCCGGGCCTGGCATAGTCAGCTTCGCGCCAGAGTGCTGGATGGGGCGTGCACTTGCCAGAGAGTCATAAGCAAGGGCCTTCCTCAGCCAGATGGTCCCCTAACTTAAAGGTCCTAGCCTGCGGGTCCCTAACCTACAGGTCTCCTAGCCTCCGGGTCCCCTAGACTGCAGGTCCCTTAGGCTGCAGGTCTACTAGTGAACGGGTCCCCTAGACTGCAGGTCCCCTAGCCTGCAAGTACCTTGCCAACCAGTCCTTTAACCTACAGACAGACCTCTAGCCCCACTCTGCGGGTCTGCAGCCCGCGCCGCCTCACCGCGCGGGTCCAGCTCTGCAGCAGCCACGTGCTCAGTGAGCACCTTTCCATAGCGTCGCAGCCGCGACACGATCCGCGCATACAGTGCCTGGTCCTCGCGCCCGCCACGGATGCTCCCGCAGAAGTACACGGAGCAGAGACCCTGCTCCACCGCTGCCGCCATCGCCGCGCGCGCTCGCCGCCGCTAGGGGGCGCAGTCGCGACCACGTGATCTGAAAATGCGATTCGCGGCGCAAAAGGGAGCAGCTTTTGCAAGCTCACTCCTCACGGATTGGCTCTTCCTGACTCATCCCGCCCCTTAGCTCTGACTCCTCCCGGTGGCCTGCCCCTCCCCAGCTTCCAGCTGCTCAAGCTGTGTGGACTCTCCTGATTCCCTCAAGCTCTGCGATCCATCCACGGGCAACTGTAATAGGTTCTCGCTAATCTTTCCACAGTTTAAAAAACTGCTAATTTGTTTTTGAAAAGAATTTTATCATTCGCCAGGCGGTGGTGGCGCACGCCTTTAATCCCAGCACCCTGGAGGCGGGAGCAGGTGGATCTTTGAGTTCTAGTCCAGCCTGTGTGTGTCTACAGAGTAAGTTCCAGGGCAGACAAAGCTACACAGAGAAACACCCCCCCCCCGACCCTCCGAAACAGTATCATTCATCATGTATGTAATGTGATTTAATCAAATCCACCCCCAGTCTCTGCCCTCCAATCCCACCTCTACCCCGTACACCAACTTCGTGTGCTCATTGTTGTTTTATTTTGTGTATAAGTGATTTGCCTTCGTGTAGCACTGTGCACTGTGGTGCATGCCTGGTGTCCCAAGAGGCCAAAAGAGCACAATGGGATACTACGGGACCGGAGTCATAGCCGTTGAGAGCCACCCGAGTGGGTGCTGAGAATCAAACCCGGGTCCTCTGGGAGAGCAGACAGTGAATACTCTTAACCACTGAGCCCCCGCTTTAATTTCATACTGAATCCAGTAAGTGTTACCTTACTTACATGTTACCCATGTGGGCATGGGTAGGAACCATCTACCGGAGGAAGAACAGTCAGCCTCTCAGGGCTGACGCAAAAATGGCTCTGTCTGGCTCAGCAGCCATTCCCTGCCAGTATCTCCTCAGCTACTGGCATGGTTCTCCATCTCCACACAAAATGGGATTTGGGACAACTTGATCTTTTCTGTTTGTTTTTTAACAATTTAATTTGAAGAAAAACAACCTGAACGTAACTGCAAGAACAATGGGCAAACCAGCTGGTAGGAGGCTGGAGAAAAGGGGGAGGGCTGGAGAAAAGGGGGAGGGCTGGAGAAAAGGGACAGGTTACAACTTACTCAGAAATGAGCTGCTTTGAGGGTGGAGGGGCCCTTGGGTCCTTTCTGGCTGTCAGGATGCACAGGAGCTTCTCTCTGTGAGTGATCTGCACATCTCAAGAGGCAAAGTGTCCCTTCCCCCACACAGGGCCATCTTCTGTCTCAGCGGACTCTTAATGGAGGGCCAACTAGAACACCACCATCTCCCTGGACGAAGGGCATGGGGATGTTATCTCTTCATTGTCTCTTTATCAGTCTGTATCGTCATCAGTTTCTTTTACGTCTCCCAGGCTCATACTTAAATGTTGATCGTAAGCATGTATCTGCCTCAAAGCTCTCTGTCGTTTCTCATCGTCACATAAATTCTCTCATCCAAACTGAGCCTGATGAGACCCAGGGGCTCCTCTCCCATATTGGTAGTCTGTTGCTGATCTACATCGTCTGCCATGATTCAAACAGGGCACCCTTTCCACCTCTCACGAGAACAGGCACTCAGAAACGCAAGGCTTCCACTCTTGGGAGGTAGACCTATCGGACAGCTTGATCCCGTGCAGACACCCACAGCTGCTAGGAGTTACTGTGTCTGTTTCACGGCAGTCTGTTTCCACTCTTCCGGAATGATCTGAACCTTGGAGGGAGGGGGTATGGCGCACGGAGATGCACGCTTACATTCACACACTCTCCAGTCTTCAGCTGTGAGACTCTGGATTAACCTGGATCTACTACAAAAAGAAGCAAGTCTGGTGAGGGCTAAGATGTGCTCTAATACCTGAGTACTGAGATACGAAATTGGGCCAGACTACACTTTCTGAATCCGACTCTCCACCACCTCCATGGCCGCCACCCTGGCCCTACCCTACCCCTCTCCAGACCTGCCCCCACCCCTTCCTACCACGGTCTGCTAGTCACTCCGTTCCTGTGCAGAGCACACTGAGGGAACCCTCAGTGACCCCCATCTTAACTGGGTTAAAACCAAAAGAAAAAAAAAAAAAAAAACAAAAAAAAACAAAAAAACAAAAAAACAGCCCAGGGGCCCACACGTTAGTGAAGAGCTGTGAAAACCAGTCTGTGGGTAAAACAGCCCTTGCCTGCTGATGAATGTCCTGGGCCTGCAGAGGAGAGACGCTATCTACAGCCAAGGCTGGGTGGTGCAGGGCCCTGCCTTCGCTGGTGAAACTAACACGCTAGGCAGAAAGGAGCCAGTGCTTTCAGGGGCCACACACCGGGCTCCACTCATTGGTCCTAATCCGAGGGTCACACAGATGGCCCTGGTTAAACTAAATGCTCATAAAACCAGACCAGAAGTCATGGATTTAGAAAAGCCATTGGTAGGGAAGGGGCGGGAGGAGATGAGGGAGAGTAGAGGGCCAGGCAGTGGTGGTGGCAGCCGCCTGTAGCCCCGCACTGGGGAGGCAGAGGCAGGCGGATCTCTGGGCCTGGCCAGCCTGCCCTACAGAGTGAGTTCCAGGGCAGTAGGGCTGCACAGAGAGACCCTGTCTGGAAAACAGACCTAGAGGGAGGCGGGGGAGAGAGTAGCAAGAATGCAATATATACAGTTCTGAAACCGTCAAAGGACATCTTAAAAGGGAAGCTTCATTAAGGTCTGTGCCAGGAAATCCCAACGAAAAAGCCACATGTGCCTGGAAGACTTCAAACAGCTGGAATTGGGGTTGACAGCCAAACTATCTTGAGTTCCCTGGTCACTTCTATGTCTGGTCTAGTAACCCTTTTAGAATGTGTTGACACGTGATAAGCAGGCAAGCACCCTTCCAACGTAACTAGAACCCCACTCCCAGCTCCCGGCGCAATTGCCTCAAATAAATAACAATTATGGTACAAATGTGCTCATTGCCATTGCGTGTGTCAGGAACCAGATGTTTGGAGTGTAGCAGAGCGCTTGTGTGTCACGCAGGAGGCTCTGGGTTAGGGTCCCCACTAAACAGACATGGAAGGAAGAAATAGTTTCAGGTCTCCAGAAGTTTCTGTATACCTCATTCAACTCACAACCCTACACACCCTGTAATCCCTCCAAAAATAAGTACTGCCTGTATTTCCATAGTTAACACAAAGACTCTTCGTAACTACAGTTTATTACATTTTAAAGGTTTTGATCGCAAATTTGTGTCTTATACATTATGGTTTAAACTTTACTCACATCATGTCTTTTTTTTTTTTTAAGGATATCTTTGAAAACATGTATTTATTAATGTATTTGGTTTTGGTTTTGGCTTTGAGGTTTTTGTTTATGCTTTTTTGTTTTTCAAGACAGGGTTTCTTTGCACAGCCCTGGTTGTTCTGGCTCTTGATCTGTAGAGCAGGCTGGCCTGGAACTCAAGAGATCTGCCTGCCTCTGCCTCCAGAGTGCTGGGACTAAAGCCGTGCACCACCACCACCCAGATGAAAAGATATTTTTAAAATGTAATGTACATGGGTTGTTAGGCCCTGATGTAGGTCATACACCATGTGGGTACCTAGTACCCAAGAAGGCTAGAAGAGAAGAGAGTGCCCGAGCCCCTGGACCTGGGTTCAAGGCAGTTGTGAGCCACCATGTGGATGCTGGGAACAATCGGGGTCTTCTGCAACAGCAGTTGGTGCCCTTAACTACTGAGCCAGCTCTAGTCCCATAACCTAGCTTCCTTCCTTTCTCTCTCCCTCACTCTCTCTTTCTCCTCCCTTCCTTCCTTCCTGTCTCCTCCCTTCCCTCCCTTCCCCTCCCCCTCTTTCTTTATTTAAAGATTTATTTTCTTTCCAGGCATGATGGGCACATACCTTTAATCCTAGCATTCAGGAGACACAGGCAACTAGATCTCTGGGAGTTTCAGGACAGTCATTGCTACAGAGTGAAACCTGTCTTGCTCTGTGTGTGTGTGTGTGTGTGTGCCATGTGTGTGTGTCCTGTGTGTGTGCAGTTTATTGACATGTGTGTATGCTATGTGTGTGCACAGTGTGTGTGATGTGTGTGTGCAATGTATGTGCAGTGTGTGTGTAGTATGTATATGTGGTATGTGTGTGTGTGCAGTCTATTGTGGTATGTGATGTGTGTGTGTGTGTGTGCAGTGTGTGTGGTGTCTGTGTAAAGTGTGTGTGTGCAGTGTGTGGTGTGTGTGATGTGGGTGTATGGTGTGTGAGATGTGTGTATGTGGTATGTGTGGTGTGTGTCTGATGTGTGTGTGTGTGGTGTGTGTATGTAGTAAATGTGGTGTGTGTCCGATGTATGTGTATGTGTGTGTGTGTGATGTTTGTGTGTGTGTGGTGTGTGTGTGATGTTTGTAAGTGTGTGTGTGGTGTGTGTGAGTGTGTTGTGTGTGTGAGTGTGTTGTGTGTGTGAGTGTGTGTGGTGTGTGTGGTGTGTGTGTGGTGTGTGTGTGTGGTGTGTGTGTGTTATGTGTGGTGTGTGTGTGGTGTGTGTGTGTGGTGTGTGTGTGTTATGTGTGGTGTGTGTGTGGTGTGTGTGTGTGGTGTGTGATGTTTGTAAGTGTGTGTGTGTGTGTGTTGTGTGTGTGAGTGTGTGTGTGGTGTGTGTGTTATGTGTGGTGTGTGTGTGGTGTGTGATGTTTGTAAGTGTGTATGTGGTGTGTGTGTGATGTGTGTGTGGTGTGTGTGAGTGTGTTGTGTGTGTGAGTGTGTTGTGTGTATGTGTGTGTGTGTATGTGTATGTGTGTGTGTGTGTGTGGTGTGTGATGTTTGTAAGTGTGTGTGTGTGTGTGTAGGTTAGAGGATAACTCGTGGCGGTATTCTTTCTCCTTCTGCCATGTGAGTGGCAGGTCCCAGCTGTTGTGAGGCTCACAGCAGGTGCCCTCTAAGCCCCTGTAATATACAAACTGGGACACAATTTTCAATGCGTCTGTTCTGTGTAAGCAGTGAGTTGGCACTGAAGGA